GTAATAATGGTCCTAATTGGGAGACTTTCCCAGTTGCGTCTTCTCGGGACAAAGTTTCTCCTTTCCTTCCTTCCTTCCTTCTTTCCTTTCCTTTCTCTCCTTTTCACTCTTTCCTTTTTCCCATTCCTTCTTTCCGTTCTCTTTTTCCCTTCTTTTCCGTTTTTTCGTTCCTGCTTTTCTTCCTCCTTCGTTATTCCCTTTTCCCTTTCTTTCATTCCTTCTTTCCTTTCTCTTCTTTTTCCCTCCACCCCCTTTCTCTTTCCTTTTTCCTTCTTTCCTTTTTCTTCTTTCTTTTTTTCCTTCCTTCCTTTTATTCTTTTCTGGGTTTTTGACTCCTTCTTTGCTTTCTCCTCTTTCTTGTCTTCCTTTCCGTTCTTTCCTTCATTCCTTTTAGACTCCTTTCTATCCTGGATGGGTCTTTTCTTCCTATCTATCTATCTATCTATCTATCTATCTATCTATCTATCTATCTATCTATCTATCTATCTATCTATCTATCTATCTTCCTATCTATCTATCTATCTATCTATCTATCTATCTATCTATCTATCTATCTATCTATCCAGGAAGGAAGGAAGGAAGCTCCCTCCTTCTTTTTCTTCCTTTCCTTTCTCTTCTTTCTTCCCTCCTTTTTCCTTTCTCCCTTTCCTTTCTTATTTCTTTCATTCCTTTCTCTTCTTCCTTCCTTCCTTCGTACTTTTTTCTTTCCTTCCCTTCTTTTCTCTTACTTCTTCCTTCCCTCCTTTCTTTTTTTCCTTTCTTCCTTTTTTCCTTTCCTTTCCCTTCTTTTCTCTTACTTCTTCCTTCTTTCCTTTCCTCCCTCCTTTTTTCCTTTCTTCTTGTTTTCTTTGCCTTTTCCTTCCTTCCTCTTCTTTTCCTTTCTTTTTTTCCTTTCTTTTCCGCCTTCCTTTCTCCACCCTTCTCTCCTTCTTTCCTTCCTTGTTCAGTCTTTTCGTCCTAACCTTTCTCCTCGTTTCCTGTCCTTTGGCTTTCTTTTCCTTCCTTCCTTCCTTCCTTCCTTCTTCCTTCCTTTCTTTTCTTTCCTTTTTCTTCCTTCCTTCCTTCCTTCCTTTCCTTCTTTCCTTCCCTCCCTCCTTTTTTCCTTCCTTCTTGTTTTCCTTGCCTTTTCCTTCTTTCCTCTTCTTTCTGCCTTCCTTCCTTTCTTTCCTGCCTTCCTTCCCTCCTTTCTTTCTTCCTTCCTTCCTTTCCTCCCTCCCTCTTTCCTTCCTTCCATCCTTTCCTCCTTTTTCTTTTCTTTCCTTCTCTTTTCTTCCTTCTTCTCTTTCCTTTCCTTCCTTCTTTCTTCCTTCCTTCCTTCCTTCTTTTCTTCCTTCCTTCCTTCCTTCTTTCCTTCCTTCCCTTTTCCTTCCTTCCTTCCTTCTTCCTTCCTTCCTTCCTTCCTTCCTTTCCTTCCTCCCTTTCTATCCCGGGGGGGGGGGGGGGGGTATTTTCCGGCGCCGGAGGAAAGCCCTTCCTCTTCCTCGGATTCCCGTCGGTATTTATCCCGCGTTTAACTCGACTTTGGGACCGAAAGCGGTTCTCAGCCTCCAGAGAAGGCGGCAGGCAGAGAAGGAAGGAAGGAAGGAAGGAAGGAAGGAAGGAAGGAAGGAAGGAAGGAAGGAAGGAAGGAAGGAAGGAAGGAAGGAAGGAAGGAAGGATTCGCAGAGAATTCACCCAGCAGCCTGGTTCTGCCCTTTGGGTCACTTTCCTTCTTCGTCCTCTTTTGAGAAGGATCTCCAGAAAGAAAGAAAGGAAGGAAGGAAAGAAAGAAGAAAAAATGAAAGCCGCGCAATGCAAGTTTCCCTTCCGTTCTCTTCCTTCCTTCCTTCCTTCCTTCCTTCCTCCTTCCTTCCTTCCTTCCTTCCTTCCTTCCTTCCTTTCTTTCTAGTTCCCTTTTCTCCTTTTCCTCTTTTCTTTCTTTCTTTCTTTTACTTTCTCTCCTTTCTTTTTCTTTCTCCTTTTCTCCCTTCTTTTTCTCTTTTCTTTCTCTTCCTCCTTCTCTCCTTTCCCTTTTCTTTTCTTTCTCCTTTTCTCCCTTCCTTCTTTTTCTCTTTTCTTTCTTTCTTTCTCTCTCTCTTTCTCCTTCTTTCCCTTCCCCTTTCTTTTCTTTTCTTTCTCCTTTTTCCCCTTCCTTCTTTTTCTCTTTTCTTTCTCTCTCTCTCTCTTTCTCCTTCTTTCCCTTCCCTTTTCTTTTCTTTTCTTTCTCCTTTTTCCCCTTCCTTCTTTTTCTCTTTTCTTTCTCTCTCTCTCTTTCTCCTTCTTTCCCTTCCCTTTTCTTTTATTTTCTTTTTCCTTTTTCCCTTCCTTCTTTTTCTCTTTTCTTTCTTTCTTTCTTTCTCTCTCCCTCTCCTCTCCTTTCCCTTTTTCTCCCTTCCTTCTTTTTCTCCTTTTTTTCTTTCTCTCTCTCTTTCTCCTTTCCCTTTTCTTTCTCTTTCTCTCCCTTTCCTCTTTTTCTTCCTTTCTTTCCTTTCCTTTTTTACCTCTTTGCTCCCATGTCCATGTCGTCATCAACATCATCATTATATGCATCCCTTATTATTATTATTATTATTATTATTAGCATCCATTTTTATTATCCCGCATTATTATTATTTGATACACAACAAGATTAGTCCACAGCAAACAAGATCACTCTGCTGGCTGTTGTTGGACACTTCCCAATACTATATTATTATTATATTATTATTATATTATTATATTATTAGTGTCCATTATTATTATTGTTGTTGTTGTTGCTATTTATTATTATTAGTAGTAGTAGTATCCATTAGTATTGCTACCCATTATTATTATTGTTATTACTCTTATTCCACATTATTGTGTTTGTTATTTGTATCCATTCTTCTTCTTATTATTAGCCCTTATTATTATCCCACATTACTATTGTTATTATATGTATCCATTATTGTTACTATCCATTATTATCTCACATGATGATGATGATTATTATTTTGTCTATCCGTTATTATTATTATTATCCCACATTATTCTTATTAGTATCCCGCATTATTGTTGCTATTTTTGTTGTTGTTATGTGTATCCATTATTATTATTATTATTATTATTATTATTATTATTATTATTATTATTATTATTATTTGTATCGATTATTCTTATTAGTATCCCGCAATATTGTTGTTGTTATGTGTATCTATTATTATTATTACTATCCATTATTATTATTATTATTATTATTATTATTATCCCACATTACTACTACTACTATTATTATTATTATTATTATTATTATTATTATTATTATTATTATGCGTATCCATTATTATTATTATCCCATATTACTATTATTATTATGTGAATCCATAATTATTATCCATTATTATTATTATCTATTATTATTATCCCACATTATTCTTATTAGTATCCCTTGTTGTTGTTGTTGTTGTTGTGTGTGTATCCCACTTTAATCTCTCGGTGGAGAGGCGAAGCTCCCTACTGCAAGTTTCTCCCGTCCTTCTTTCCTTCTTCCTTCCTTCCTTCCTTCTTTCTTTTTCTTTCTTTCCTTCCTTCCTTATTCCTTTCTCTTTCTTTCCTCTCTTCTTCCCTCCTTTCTTTTTTAATCTGCTATTTCCCACGCCCGAGTATTATCATTATTCGTATTATTCTCATGACGTTCATCCCGCAAAGCGGCTCCAAAGAAGTTTCGCACTCTTCCCGCTTTCTTTCTTCTCTTTCCTTCCTTCTCTCTTTCCTTCTCTCCCCTCTTTCTTTCTTTCTTTCTTTCTTTCTTTCTTTCTTTCTTTCTTTCTTTCTTTCTTTCTTTCTCCGTCTCCTTCCTTCCCCCATCTCTCTCTCTTTGTGTGCGCATCTTTCTCTGCCTCCTTTCTCTATCTCTTTCTTTCCTTCTTTCTTCTTCCTTCTCTCTTCCTTTTTTTTTCTTTCTTTCTCTCTTTCTGTTCTTCCTTCCTTCCTTCCTTCCTTCCTCTTCCTTCCTTCCTTCCTTCCTTCCTTCCTTCCTTCTTTCTTTCTCCCCCCTCTTTCCTTCCTTCTCTCTCTTTCTCCTCTTTCTTTCCTTCTTATCTTTCTTTCCTTCCCTCCTTCCTTATTCCTTTCTTCTTTCTTTCTTTGTCCTCTTTCTGTTCTCCCTTCCTTCTCCTCTTTCTTTCTTTCTTTCTTTCTTTCTTTCTTTCTTTCTTTCTTTCTCCTCTTTCATTGACCCTTCCACACAGGGATATGCTTTGAAGTGGGTTATCTGAGTCCACACGGCCTTGTATCCCAGTGCAAAGCAGATAATGTGGAACTGTATTCTCCTCTGCTTGACTTGTATCCATCCATCCTATTCTTTCTTTCTTTCTGTCCTTCCTTCTTTCTTTCCTTCCTTATCTTTCTTTCTTCCTCCTTCCTTCCTCTTCTCCTCTTTTCTCCTCTTCTCCTCCTTCCTCTTCTTCCTCTTTTTCCTTCCTTTCCTTCCTTCCTTCCTTCCTTCTTTCTTTCTCCCCCCTCTTTCCTTCTTTCCTTCCTTCTCTCTCTTTCTCCTCTTTCTTTCCTTCTTATCTTTCTTTCCTTCCCTCCTTCCTTATTCCTTTCTTCTTTCTTTCTTTGTCCTCTTTCTGTTCCTTCCTTCTCCTCTTTCTTTCTTTCTTTCTTTCTTTCTTTCTTTCTTTCTTTCTTTCTTTTTTTCTTCTTCCTTCCTTCCTTCCTTTTCCTTCCTTCCTTCCTTCCTTCCTTCCTTCTTTCTTTCTTTTTGTCCTTCCTCTTTCTCCCCCCCCCCCCCCCCTTCGGATCCTTCGTAACTGCGACCCTCTTTTTTGTCGTGTCAGGAGTGACTTGAGAAACTGCAAGTCGCTTCTGGTGTGAGAGAATTGGCGGTCTGCAAGGACGTTGCCCAGGGGATCTAATAATAATAATAATAATAATAATAATAATAATAATAATAATAATAATAAAGCCTAGGCTGAGTGGCCATCTGTCAGGAGGGATCGGATAGTACTTTTCCTTTATGGCAGAATTGGGTTGGACTGGATAGCCTTTGGGAGCGATGA